ATGTGTAAAGCTCTTATCAAGCATGATTTCCATATTAGCTATTAAACAGACAATTTCTAAGTGTTGTGTTTCACTATTTTCAGCTGCCAGTAAGTGGTTAGAATCCCAGTGTACAGTAGGTTTAAACAACAGGAGCACCATGATTAAAAGGTTAATGAAAACCACAAAATGCCCTGAGAGATTTGTCCACACTTGCCACATGGAAAAAAAACATTTAACAGGATTATATTGTAACCCTTGTGAAGACAGGCTAGTACATACAAATCAAATATCTCATACTGGTTATGTCATGACCGTCCAGTACTCCACTCTGGCACAAAAGGAAAAAATAATGTGTGTTGTGATGATATTATTGAGGAATGGTCACCATTCATTTCTTTTGGACCTTCTGTCCTCAGATTGAGTCGGAGACGTCCAACAGTGAGAAGGATTTGACTGATGCCATGGACCGGCTGGGCACACTGGGACAGGAGATCACCGCCCTGAAGACCAAACGTGCCAACAACAGCATGGCAGCGGCCCGCGCAGAAGAGACCGCCACCATGGCTCGAGACAAGGCAAACGAAGCCAAGCAGGTTTGTGTGTGTGTGTGTGTGTGTGTGTGTGTGTGTGTGTGTGTGTGTGTGTGTGTGTGTGTGTGTGTGTGTGTGTGTGTGTGTGTGTGTGTGTGTGTGTGTGTGTGTGTGTGTGTGTGTGTGTGTGTGTGTGTGTGTGTGTGTGTGTGCCAAACGTTTCATCATTAAATATTATACACAGCTGTTACAGAAAGAGCTCACTTCTGTCTTGATGCCCAGATTCTGGACGGCCAGCTGACAGATAAATACCATGAGGTGCAGCAGCGGGTCGACACAAAGGCCAAGGCTGTGAAGGACGCCAAGAAAAGAGCGGAGAGCCTCAGAGATGAAGCTAAGGAGCTGCTGAGAGATGCCCAGAACAAGCTGCAGAGACTTGCAGGTGCTTATTAAAATATCTGTGTGTGCCTGTTTGTGTGTGTGTGTGTGTGTGTGTATTTTTGTGTTTTTGAGATGGAGAAATAGGCCTGTGTGTCTGTGTAAAAGAAACGTTAATTAGAAATCAATGTGAGTCAGACTCTGTTGTTGTCTTGATTTCCTAGTCAAATAAGTTGGTGCATTATGTTCATCAAGTCATAAAAATCAGATCTAAGATAGGACAATCCTTAATTGATCCTCAGAGGGGAAATTCAAGTGTTGCAGCAGTGAAAAGACATGAAGAAGAGCATACATTTGAGTGCAAATAGATTAAGAAGAGATACAATGTATTTACAACTGTTAACTAGAAAGTATGCAGTAAACTATGCACCTATAAACTGCCAAACTAAAAAGACCTGTCCAGGACATTCAGACATGTTGTGCAGTAAGTGGTGAGTTAAAGTGACTGGTTATGATATAAAGTGACAATAATCAGATAAAGTGACAAAGTTACATGGTTACAAAATTGAGCAATAAATCCCCAAAAAGGTGGTGTTGGCTGAAGGAGCTGCCCATCTGCAACAGCTCCATCATAGAGAGGGTGAGAGGAGTTGTCCTGGATGGCTGTGATTTTGTCCCTCATCCTTCTCTCAGTCACGATCTCCAAACTGTCCAGTTCCACCCCTACACCATTTTGGGAAATAAACTTTCAATATAGTTAATACCTTTTTATGTCTGTACTATAAATAGAAACAGCCACTTAACCTTCAACATTGTATGGTCAACCATGACATAGTTGGGCTGATATTGCTTGTCATCTCGCTTTAGGAAAACAAACACAAGCTGACATTCAAAAACAGCCCACCACTTTTCCTAATTTGATTTCAAAGAATTTGATGCTTGACTGTATAAAAATCAACACTTGGTTAAGTAGAAAGTCTCAAAGACTTAAATCAGCACCAAATATCTCAAAAGTCGTGATGTGTAACCGTTCTTTAAATTCCTGCTGTCCATAGAGCTGGAGAAAAACTATGAAGACAACCAGAGGAGGCTGGAGGGGAAAGCTCGTCAGCTGGATGGCTTGGAGGACAAAATGAAAACCATCCTCAATGATATCAACAAACAGATCCAAATCTACAACACGTGCCAATAATCCACCACTCCACGTCATAAGAACTGTCTGGATTTTCTGCCGTTTTCTCCAGATTCACAAGCTGTAAAATAGACTTTCAGAACACAACCCAAAAATCTGCCAGTGAATATGCATACTGTAGTCTGTTTGTTTGTTACGAAGGCGTTTAATACAGTTACTATCATATTTAGATATTTATAGCCATGGTGCAACAAAAGGTTGTCTGATTTCACATATTTAATTTTCAATCTTAATTTGAGTGCACATTTTTGTTTGGAGAATAATCTGGAAATGTATTTTATAATGTTCTTTAAACACCTGCTGACTGATCGATGTTATCCATTGTAAACAGTCTGTTATTTAACTATGCATTTTTTTACATACTTACAGTGACTGTAACAGAATCAACATGTTTATATCATTTTCTAAGAAGGTTATGTTACTACTGGAAGTGTAACCTGAGCTGTGCTCAAGAAGGACACCTTCATTAAACCTGCATCAGACAGTGGAAACAACTGAAGATATAATACTGTTTAAATGTGTTGTTCAAGGACATACATTTAAAGTATTTTCATAAAAAAAGTGTACCAACTGTGTTGATTGGAATCATATATTTTGTAACACCTCTGCCTTTCTACAAATGACTTTGAATCAAAGATAGGACCTTTGTGTATGTGAAAAGGGGTGACTATATTTCCTCTGACAATACATATAGACAAGCACAAAAAGCACCTCTGCCTGGAGTGTGAGGATGGCTGTACACTACTGTCACAGAAATAAGGTTGATGGTAGTGTATGCTCAGTGTATGCTGGCAGCTTAGCCTGGGTGATGCAACTATCAATCAATAAATAAGCCGGTATCTAGTTGAACATTCATCCGGAGTGGAGTATCTCAGCAACTGTTTTATTGAACAAATGAAATAAAAAACCTTTTTTGGGGGAAAGGAAATTCCCCTTTATTACCCCCAGGACACACTTAAAGGTAGTTAAAGTTATTTTAGAAATGCCATGTTGTCTTTGTTCCTCAGAGTTAAATGAATTGTTACTCCAGCTAGCTGTCTGTTAGCAAAACTTAGCATCCAGAAGGCCTGGCTAGCCTGGCTCTGTTTAAAAGCAGAAAAAGAAACCTTTTCACCTCTGTACGTCATCAATTAGCAAGCTAAAAAAAAATGGGCAGGCTGCTTGTGGAAACCCCTCATGGTCAGTAAAATAATCCAGCACATAACTCTGTAAAAATGCAACTAGAGTAGAACCAGGCTAGCTATTTCCACCTGTTTACAATCCTCCTGTCTCATATAATTGACAAATGTAAGTGATATTTATAAAATTGTCTGATTACAAGATTGTTAGAATATCCTCTTTTGTCATTGCCAGAATTATTTTTTGATAAATCTATAAAAGCAATGCATGGAGTGTGAATGTATATCTATCACATGTAGCCTACTGTGACTGAATATTTGTGACCTGCAGTATTTGATGCTTCACTGAATAGTATTCTAAAGGGAAGTACAGTCTTCACACTGTGTGCCTTAGAGTCTTGGACATGTACTCATGAACTATTTGTATGACCATTTTTGTTGTGTCAGAAACAAAACAAACCAAAACAATTACATTGTCAGCTTTTTCCCTCTGATCACTAATCATCCCTCAGACCCAATATGTTTACAAGGAACTGCCAAAGAAAGAAATCCAATCAGAAATTAAGTTGAACTGTATACAGTTTTTGAATAAATGTTGCACAGTGTATTCCTGAACATGTCCCTTTTTGGAGGATTTTTTTTGAGATTCTTAAATGGAGTCAAATAGAAATCCATTTATCTGTGTTGATCAAATGAAAAGCGTCCCTGTGTGATACTGTCTCTCTTTCTAACCTTGTTGCTTGTGGCCTGAATGTTTATGCAATCATCTTAGGGTCTGCAAGGGTGTAAGATGTCCTGATGCTATTTTTATTGAGCACGACCGTGAGACATTGACAAGTCCTTTGACAGTGGCCGCCTTGGCAGACTTTACAGCTGTCTGTTATCCACATCTTCCAGCTATGTGTGAAAACAGTGAATGGCAGAATTAAAAGAGCACTGCCAGGATGACAGGAGAGAGCAGGGACATTGTGAACCTTCTCCACCTGCTTAAAAACAACAATTGATTATTTCCTCACAATGTCAATTTTAGGTACTGTAAATATGTGCAAAATAAAACTCAATTTGGTGACATGCATACATTAGGCCCATATGTTAAATACAAATGTGATGGAAGACCCCCTTCACAACTTAGCCCTCTTAGCCTATATGCAGGAGTATGGAAGCCCGAAACGGTGTATGGTATGCAAGCATTTTATTTCCCTCAATTTTCCTGTGATAATGAGTACATTTCGGTTGGTTTCTCAAGATCTAGACATATGATAAGAGGGTGGGTTTTCCAGTGATTACCAGTTAATTTCTTGAGAGCTCAGCAAAACCGCTGAAATTGCCTCTTTATAGCGGGAAAAGAAGGTTTGTTATCCCAAGAGATAATGAGATAAACAAGTCGAGATCTTGAGAAAGCAACAAAATTGACTTATTATTACAAGTAAAATAAAATGTATGGATGTATGTCTTATTAGGGCATAAACACAACAATCTTATTTATATTATGAGATGAAAAAGATGATTCAAGCTAAATAAGACTCAATTTCAAGATTCAAAAACGTTTTGTCTATCACATAGTGACAGAAATTAACCTAACATTTTGTTTCTGTCTGATTTTATACACTCCATAATGTGTCAGAAGTGTAAAAGACAAAAGGTTCAGCGAGAGAGAGAAAAGAGAGAGAGAGAGAGAGAGAGAGAGAGAGAGAGAGAGAGAGAGAGAGAGAGAGAGAGAGAGAGAGCGCGCGAGAGAGCGCGCGAGAGAGGAGGGGGGACCTGAGCTACAGGTCACGTGAACACACAGTCAGGAAGTGGGCTCTGCGCACTGCTCTCCGGTTTGGCCGGGCATCAGTGTGTTTTGTCCCAAACAAAGTAGGACTCACGCCGCAGAGGCCGAATGACACGAACAGACTGAGACGTGTTTCAGTGCTGTCTTTTGTTTGAATATTTTCTATCAGTAGATGAAGATTATCAGAAATGGGTCCTGGATAAAGTAATCTTGTAGAAACACCGTGGACTCCGGCTGGTTTGGAGTGTGGGCAGCAGCGGCCCGCGGCCGTGAAGGAGCTTAGCAGCCGGGAGGAGCAGAAGCCATTGTGTGTTGGGAACGGCATTCAATTTTCACCGAATTGAAGCTCCGTGAGTCTCTTGTTTTAATTTCGATACAAATTGAGCACTTCTCCTACAGGCGGGGAGCATGTTTCACGAGTTGTCATGTTATGTTGTTTTGCTAAAGTAATGGTATCTATATCAACCGTTTGGTGTCAGCTAGCGTTAGCTTGAGGTGGCTAATGTCGTTAGCTTCTGGAAGACGAGGAGCGTCTGACTGAACTGGAAGAAAAGGACCCGGGACAAAGTGTAGCGATACTTAACCAAGAACCCCTCTCGCATTTTTAACTAATAGTGATGGATCATTTTCATTAATGAACATTACAGTTTGTTAAGTTAAATTCAAAGGTGCATTATCCCACCTTTACAAACGCTCATCAGGTAAACAAAAGACAAGTCGTTTGGTCATTAACTGAATGTGCTTTCTATGTAAATACAAGAGGACTGATTAGATACACAAATGTGATTACATCGAAGGTGAAACGAACCAAAGAGACAAATGTGTATGCCTTAAATCGACGTTCACCTGACACCTTAAAACACCTGTCTCATAATCTAAAGAACCTCTGCAGTCGGTCGGCTAAGCTACAAAGCTAACGACTCTGTGGATAGAAAGCTACACTGCTCAGGGTGCTAGACAGTTTTATTTACGCAAATCATGTTTTTAGTAGTTTTTCTGTAACAAACGACGAATAAAATGGATGATTTAGCTGTTGTCGTTTTGTCATTTGACGGTTTAGGCTAACAACTTTCTGTTTCAATACTAGGGAAACAAATCAACCCTTGATCTGAGGCTAGGTCAGCTAATGTTTTGTGCAGCTATATACCACCTTTTGTAGGACATTATTTTAATGTCCTCGTCATTTAAGCAGTATTTGAGACCTTTTCTTATGAATTTGAGGCGAAGAAACACGCTCTCCTTGTTCTTCTGAGATTGTGTTTATTTGGTTTATATTATACACACAACAAAGGCGGACTGTCATGATCACCTGAGTTGTTTACACTATGATGACTCATACTCATATTTATGCCAAACAATTAAAGAAGTTAATATAATTGCATTGTTATGATAAGTACATGTCTTTCTGCCCTCCTCCTCAGGTCCCCATCCCTTGCTATCCTTCCTGATTCAGTTCTGGGAGAGTTCAGACTAGGATAATCGCCAAGATAGCCGGGCCAGGTAGGAAGAGGCACACCTCAGATCCAGACCCCAGCAGCGGCAGTGATTCCGGCGACGGGCAGCCTGTTAGTGCCAAGTGCCTGAAAATGGCCAGCAGTGGTAGTAATGGTGCGGCTGGTAGTGAGACAGCGGGCCGTCGTGGTGGGGCTCAACAGAGAGGAGGCAACGGTAGGGAGAACAGTTCAGACCTGTCCTCAAGTACCAGTAAGAAGAAGCAGAAGGACCGGGCCAATCAGGAGAGTCGAGAGGCCAAGAGGGCAGCGGCTGCAGCAGTAGACGGGGTTATTGCAGAAGTCAAGAAAGGTGAGTAGGACTAAAGATGTTGTGTAACTAACTCAGCAGCGGACTCAATCCCCATTGTGTTGCTTTATTCAATATATTACACAAAATTCAAAAATGCAAGGGAACACAGGTATAACCCTTTGCATTATATTGCAGTTTACAGTTTTTGAATACCCATGTTAGCACTGAAGCTGATCGTATTTGATTTGTACTGGAAATGTAAAAAGCCATTAAAATGTCTCTGATCTATAAGACAGTCCTGATAGTATTAGAGGTAACTTGCTAAATATCAGGATAAGATGCTGAATTGTTTCCCCCCCCCCATATCTAAATATTATACTGCAACAATGTTTGTATTTCTTTGAAAATTTTATCCATACAGTGCATTATCAACATGTCAACATTATTTTATGTAGTGATCATGCAGTACAAAACAAGCAATTTTGGCAAGCTTACTAAACAATGACCCTCTTGCTTGTCAAACTGATAATCAGGGAGAAATGTTTTAATTGGTAAATGTTATGTACTGGAAGTGGATTCACACTAGGTTTCATACTACTGGTGCTTTACTTTTTGGGTGTACTGTCTGCTGTATAATGCTGGCTCTGTTTTGAAGTGGAAAGTGTTGCATATACTTTACTGTGTTGTTTATGTAGCCAGTTGTCAGAGTTCTAATCATTCTGTAGTGATGTATTTCTGGCTATGAGAGTGTCAGTCTCTGTTTGGGGGGACTTGGGTTTATTAAGACCGTCCTCATCAATACCTGGACAGACCATCTCTGTCAGTACACATAATGGTAAACTTTCAAACTGTAGCTCACTGTATTTTATATTTGCTATCATTGTGCTCTTGTCTACTTTGAGAAATTGTCTGGCTAAATAGAAAACATGTCTTTGTGGTAGAAATTAGAACTACACCAGTACTGAAATGACACACTGGTATTGCCATTACATGATTTGTCCACCAGAGGGCACTGACAAGTTACTTTTCAAAGGCAAAACATTCACTCAGTGTGAATCCTACTTAAAAAGAAAACTACCAAAAGGGATCTATAAAAACATGAAAATAAGTAGTTATTGGGTTATAATGTAAGCAGATTGTTCAACTCCCTTCCTCCAGTTTTGTTCTGAAAAAAATCTTGTTCAGGTTGGATAAAGTGGAATGTTATTAATGCATTCAATAATTGAAATGACAAGGGGATGTCAGAAAATTGCTTGTAATCAAAGTTGAATTATTTTCTCAGTTAGGAGTAATGTGATGCATTTGAAAGGTTTAGTACAATTTAGAAAGAGACTTTATCCAATGTCATCAATGGATTTCTTGGGGCCACTGACAGTGTGTAATTGTTTGTATGTAATTGTTAAATTCCCCATTAAGGAAATATTTAATTTGCCTGCTAACCAGCCAGTCACAAAAGTTGCAGATTAACAGTCTTCCCACAGAGATTATACAAACCTTTGGAAAGAGTACAAGACAAACAGCATGAGTAACAATGCATCTCAGTGTAGCAATCAGCTGAAGTCAATGTGAGACACAGGTTATTCCTTCCTTATGTAGAGATATTTATGCCATTATTTGATACAGCTTTTTTAATGGGTTGGTTCAGTTCACAATTTTAGTGTATTATGTCAGTGTACAATGTTTAATCTTGCATTACTTGTAATTAAAATAAATCCTAACTTCTCAACTTAAAGTAGCCCAAAGTATGTTTATTAAATATCTGTTGTAATTATTATTCAGGCAAGTTTCAAATAGAAATGTCAAGTCCACTGTCATATAATTCTCTCTTGCCACTTGTGGACTTTCTGGCAGCAAGGCATTTTATTGTGATTTTAACGTGTTGAAATGATGATATAGATATATAAATAGATAGATACTATCTATGTGAGGCAGTGTGACGTTTCACCGAGTCATGAGAGAGTACTTCTGAACACTGTGGCATGGCTGACCTGGAATCACCAGCTGGAAGGGATTGGATGTTGCCTCTGACCTTTTTAGTTTGAGGGGTTGAGCGACAGGAAAGAAGTTGTAATGGGAAAGTTGAGGCTCTCTAGTTGTTTTTGAAGGCTAAATGGTAATACGAATGTATACATGACTTCTCATGTATTTTACCTCTGGAATGAGATTTGATTTTAAGCCACGGATACCACTTTGAGGTCACAATGAAAAATGGTAAATGTTTGTTTTCTTCTTTGTTCTCATTCTTGTGGTTCTACAAAAGCAATGGTTTTGGCTTGTCAGCTAATTGGTAGTTCGCTGTGATACATTTGTTTAGTTGGTTTACAGTCTGTGTGGCATGAATACTTTTAGATGTCCCATCTGCTGTATTCACTGTACTGTGTTAAGTTTGTGCTTGAGCGCTCTGGGCTGACCCACTTGAGCATATGGGTGCATTGATATGCCATTTGTGAATATGTGAGCAGGTGCATTTCAAGCTATATGTCTTTGTGCTCTCATGGTAGAGACACATAATGTTCTTCACTGGACTACCTGAAAAACTGGACTTTTCTGTTGTGTGTTCTGTGTGGGCTTATCTTCATTTTCTAGGTCTATATTTGCCATAAGGGAGCAACTGCTCTGTCTATTTTTAGAACTTCAAACAATTATTACAACCATGACATTTTCAGTTTCAGGGCTTGTGGCTTAAATGTTTTTTAATGTGTTTTAATTATGGTGGAAACTAAATACATTCAAGTTTGTAACAGTCTATTTCTATTTTATATTTCAGATGTGTTTGTGGACTGGAAGCAAAATGTCAATGAAGTGACTGTCAGACTGCGCTGTGGGGAGGGGGTGCAAAGGATAGAGGATATCAATACAACTTTCACTGATACACACTGCCATGTGTGCTTCCCAGGTAAGTCAAACTACAGCATGTGACATGAAGACACTCAGTTCAGCAAAATGACAGTACAGACCAAAATGTATTAGATATTTTAGTTGCTGCATTAGAGCACTGTGAAGGCAAATATCCCACTCGGACAATGAAGGTTATCTGATCTTATCATGTCTTATGTTTTTCATGCAATGTAACTTTATGCTCTGACATTACATCACAAATAGTTGCTTAGAACTCTTTTGGAATTTTTATTGATATTGTCTGTCAGACTAACGTGACAAATCATGATTTTTTACTTTTAACAAATCTGCATCGTGTTGTTGTCTTTTACAGTTAAACACAGCAACATCTATTTAATTTGGGTTCATTAAACTGTAGTCAGCTAGAGTCCAACTAATGTGTGACCTGCTAGACAGTATATCTGCCACAGATAGATGGGCAGACTCTCAGCAGCAGAACTGGAGCAGCAGTAGTTGGTTTCCTTCTCTGAAATCTTGGTGCTAAGCCTGACCTTGCTAACAGGACATTAAAACTGGGCACATGTCAGCTCAAGTAGTTTGAAACTGTGGACATAGTTCCTGGATAAGGAAGTGAAAATGACCACGGTCTGTGTGATCTAGACATAAGTGATGATCAGAGAAGACAGATTTTTTTGGCAAATATATGCAGTTGCTTTATCAAAGAAAATATACAAAGGATCCTGCTATCAAAGTCATGCAGTTAATTTTGCATAGGTGTTTGGCCTGTACACCTAAAATATTAATCTCCACAATATAGTAAGAGTCTCAGTTTGGGTTTAAACTTCAAACTCATCTCCATAGATTGCATTTTTAAACCAAACATCCTCAGAATGTTTGAAATTTTGTCTGCCTCCTATGTCTTGTATTTGCTGCTATTTAAATGTTCGTGATGACACTAGTTCTACTCTAATAGGGGCTGCATGTCATTGTTTTTCAGATGGACGTGAGTGGAGATGCCAGTTGCAGGAGGAAATTGAGGCCTCGTGTAGCAGAGTTCAGTACAAGGAGAAGGGAGGTTTCCTGCTTGTCGTCATGCAAAAGAAGATTCCTTTTCACATCTGGCCTTCACTTAAAGTGAGTCACATAACATGAGCAGTGCTTTAAATGTTCCTTTACTAAAATACATTTCTCCTGCTTTATTTAATGTTTGTTTTTAACTGTCTTTATAATTGTAGTATTTCCTTGCCTACTGTTCTATTATCCCACTTAACATCAAGTTATGAATGGCAGTTGCATTGAGTCTTCAGCTTACTCTACTTTTGTCCAAATGATAAAAATGGTTCTTCTTCTGTTTACTCTGTTTCAGTCGAACAAGAAGGAGAAGGAGGCAGTAACCACAGAGACCAAAAATGACAAGGAGCCTGAGAAAGCTGTTGCCTTGGATTCATCAGAGATACCCAGACTGTCATCCTCGCAGCCTTCCCCCTCACATGCACAGAGCGAGTCAAGGCGCAGTGGTGGCAAAGCTGTCAAGCGCTGCCTTAAAAACAAACCAGTTGGTGACAAGGCCACTACGGACTCTTTGGGAGCGAAAGGTGGAACTGGAGAGGGCTCAGCCACCACCAGCAAGCCTGTTACAGCCGCAAGAGGCGAGCAGCAGGAGCCCAGTGCTAAGCGCACCGTTGTACAGCCACCCAAGACCCCCAAGGAAGATGCTGCCTCACCAGCAGACAGGGACACAAAATCTGCCAAGTCTACAGTAGTAAATGGTAAAGCTCCACACACACACCTGCCCGCTGGTCGGAGCCCACAAACACAACGCGAAGATGGAGACAACAGATCACAGAGACTAGAGAGTGGCCAGGATCAGAAACCAGGAGTCCCAGTCGCTACTCCTGTCAGCCATACCAACAAAACTCAGGTGAGAAAATGTTTTGCTGAACTGAACATGATTTACACATTTATCAATTGTTCTCATTGTTTATAAGGACTTGGTGATTTGCTTTTGTGCAGAATTGATTTAATCACAATTCTCTGGTGCTAATTCGATTTGTATTGCAAATCTGAAGTTTTGCAATTTTGTGTGCAGTAGTGTATTGAGCTGTCTTTACCAACACTTCAGACTCATACTGAGCTTTAGCCTGGTGAGAGAGGGAGATAAAACGGGTGTCGTATAAAACCCTGCCAAAGCTGCAGAATCATCTGACCTTAGATATTATTTAAGCCTTTGGTGCCTTTGAAATAAAGTTTCTTGTGTCTTCCCTAATTCAGGTGGCAGAGAAGCAAAACCAGTCCTCTGACGGGTCAGAAGCAACAGCACATGGCAGTGAAAGCCAATCAGCAGCTCCCATTAGCACCAGCGACTGCCTCAAACCTGTGAGCTCTAACAACAAAGCGAACTCTCCTGAAATGCTGGAGGATAAAACGGACTCTGAACCAGAGAAAAGGCCTGATGAGCAGGAATCAGAGCAGGATACTCTGATCCACCAGCAGCCTCCATCTAGAGAAACAGATTCAGTACCAGCTGTTGGTGTGAGTGCCAAACAAGAAGCGTCACCCAGTATATCCCAGAAGCATGGCAGCTTTGATGGAGAAGAGAAGCGGGACCAGTCGAAGGAAGAGCCTCCACTGGAATTAAAGCAACAGGAAGGTTAGTTTGGAAGGCTTTAGGGAATGCAGAAGTCCGTGGGATAGGATTATCACACAAGTCAAGTTTATTTATATAATGATAATACCAGTTTGTCATTTCAGTACTGGTGTAGTTCTAATTCCTGCCACAAAAAATGTTTTCTATTTAGCTAGACAATTTCTCAAAGACAATAAAATTGAAATAAAATACCAATAAAACAAAGATACTGCGTAAAATGAAATTTGAAAATAAAACAAGAGAATAAAACGATAACAAAGATTCAAAACCATGAACAGAATAATTCTAACAGAAAAGCTGTGCAATAAAAACAATAAATAAATAAAAGGAGTGAAGGTCAACTTGAACTGAATGACATCGAGAAAAGATGCAACTTCAACAGTGACAGCCAGGGAGCAAAGAGTTTCAAAAGAGAAATTGTAGAAAAGGGCATGAGCTCTGGCGTGGTTGAGGTGGAGCCCATCTAGGCCAAAGAGCTCCCCATGCTCCCAAAAAACGTTAACATTGGCAATGAAATCCACCCGTGAGTGGAGCAGGCAGGCCACTACTTCTGCCCAGGATAGCTGGTGGCTCGGAGTTGAGCAGGAGGAAGGCCAGGGACAGGTTGGAGGGTCCCAGACTGGTTTCTGGATTGGCCAAGTTGACGGTGGCAATCGGTTTTGCTTGTCCCGAGCCACCTCCATAAAGCCAGACAGGGGTGAGAGTTATGCAGTTCACCAGAGAGCCTACTGATGTGTTCTCTGAGGTTTGTTATTGTCCTGTTTGCCTTCTGAAGTAGTTCAGTCTTTAAAAGGCACACTGACAGTTCTTTAATGTAGCCACAAGCTAGGAGCGGAAGAGGAAGCAGGGGGATAAAAACAGAAGATCTGAATGCACGATGGCTAAAACTTTTTGACTAATAAAATAACTGAGTAAAAGCATTCACCATCTAATGAAGTAGAATAAAAATCAGCCTAAAAACTGCATAAAATCAAGACGGTTAACAGAGTGTCAGGGTGAGGCTTGTGTCATGTCATGATGCCTGGTGCTCTGCCAGGAACAAATGTAAATATTGAACAAAGTGAATGTTAATATGATTCTATTTTGCTCTTCAGCTTGTTAGCACTGATTTGTTCCTTCAGTTCAATATGATTTTAACCATGTAATAATTTCCTGCAGCCCCAGAGCCAATGGTCAACCTGCAATTTATGAAGAATGATTCGTATGAGAAGGGCACAGACCTGATGGTGGTAAATGTTTACATGAAGGGGATCTGCAGGGACACAGCCAGGGTAATCTTCAGGGAACAGGACTTCACACTCATCTTCCAGACCAGGTAGTTAACGCGAAAATGACACAGAAATATATGGTTGTTCCATATCTGCATGAATCAGTGTCCATCAATAACCAATAAATAATCTCTCTTTACAGTGATGTTAATTTTCTGCGGCTTCATTCAGACTGTGGACCAAACACAGTCTTCAAGTGGCAAGTCAAACTCAGGTAACTTCTGCCGTCACAGATGCCAGAAATGTTGTTTTGAAATTTAAGATCTTCAAATTGGACGTTAGAAAGAAGAGAAATTGCATGTTTACATTTCCGTCTGTTTGTCTCCCACACCTCAGGAATCTTATCCAGCCTGAGCAGTGCAGCTACTCCTTCACACCGTCCCGACTGGACATCACCCTGAAGAAGAGGCACAGCCAGCGCTGGGGGGGTCTGGAGGCCCCCGCCCCACAAGGTTCAATTCAATTCAATTCAAACAACTTTATTAATCCCTCTTGGGGCAATTGGTGTGGAGCAGCTAGTACACATGAGAAAGAAACACGAACAAAGACAAGTTGACGTACAAGCAACAGATTAGCCTACACAAGAAGTTAAAACCTAGATAAAGGAGACACTGATATTGGACAGACTGATTAAAAGTCGGCCAGACTGAAGACGAAATGAAAACACACTAGAGTGATCAGTCAAATAAAAGATATGTGGCGCCAAAAGATAAAGTCTTTAAGGAGCATTCAGCAATCTGATCGCAGAGGGGATGTACGATTTTGAGTAGCGGCTAGTTTTACAGGTAGATAAAACATAACGGGGACGTGATGGCAGCAGACAAAATTCACTACAGAGTGCGTGACCAGAAGAGGCTAAAATACTCTCAGACTTTCTGAGGATCTGCTGGTTACAAAAAGTGCTGCTGGTTTAAATCTCTCTGTTTCACGCCGATTATCTTAGAACAGATTTTAACAATTTCAGTAAGAATATTTATGTCTTTAACGGAGAGCTCGTGGAACTAACAGAAGAAAAAACAGGAGTCTCTCAATAAAAGACTGTTAAAAGCAACAAAGTATTACAGGACTGACTGAGAAAGAGTTCAGTTTCCTTAAAAGGTGAATTCTCTGTTGCCCCCTCTTTACAATAGCCTCAGTGTTGACACCAAATTTGAGTTGGTCGTCCAAATATGTGCCCAAGTATTTGTATGACCTCACAATCTCCACATTTTTACTATGTATGATGCACTCTGTGGCTGCCTCCCTCTTACGTCTAAAGTCGAAGACGAGTTCCTTGGTTTCTCCTGCAAGCATCAGTATACATAATGAAGAGGAGGGGGGAAAGGACACACCCTTGTGGTGAGCCAGTGGAAATGGTTAGGGAGTCTGATAAATTTACAGACACCCTCTGAGTTCTGTCAGTCAGAAAGTCCATACTCCACAGCACAAGCTGATGAGGCAGTTTAAAATCACAGATCATTCATTCTTATAAAAGGTGAGGCTGCATGGTATTAGAAGCTGATGAAAGGTGAGCATGAGCATGAGCTTGTGGCTTTTCTAAATGTTTATACAAACTATTCAAGATAAAAAGTTTTGCATCCTCCACACCTCTCCCTGCCTGGTAGGCAAACTGAAGTGGATCAAGGTTACCCTCCACTGTTGAGAGAACAAGGTTCTTTACCATTTTTTCAAAGGTCTTCATAATTAATTAGGTAAGTGCAACCGGTCTAAAATTATTTAGTTGCCTCGGACTAGTGATCTTTGGAATAGGCACCACAGTGGAAGATTTCCAGATGGCAGGAATAAAGTGACAGTCCAATGACAACTGGAAGATGTGGTGGAGAACACTGCTAAGCTGGTCAGCACAATAACCTAATGTGTGTCCACAAACTTGATCTGGACCGGGGGCCTTCCTCATATTAATGTTTTTAAGATGAACTCTTACACATTCTTCAGAGTTGACAATATTGCCTTACGAAAGGAGAGATTCTTTGAGGAGGGTCTTATTTGCAGCAAAATCCTGTTTATCAAAACGGCAGAAGAAGTGGTTAAGAACATCCGGAAGGTCTACATCATTTATTCCTTCAATTTTAAAAGGTTTCTTGTCAGTGTCACCGCTGCTATACTTATATTCTACTTTATCCTTATACAATCTTTTTGCCTTTCTTATCTCAATTTTTACTTCTCTGTTAATATCGTTCTTTTCCTCATTACTGCCCGTAAAGAATATATGTTTTTCTTGTTTAACTTCACTGTAAAGTTGATCATTTTGAATTTTTATGTTTCTGCAATTTGTGATAATCCAATCTGAAGTGCTCACCTGATTGTTTTGTATTAATCGTCATAAACATGTTCTGTGCAGTCACCTGCTATTGATAATATTCTTACCACAAGCTCCATTGTCCTCTGTCTAAGGTGCAGTGGGTGGTGCAAAAGTTGCTGTGCCCTCCAGTCCTGCCTGTTTGGAGAACAGCCAGCCTGGCAGCAGCCAGCACAGCCTACCAGCCAAGGAGGAGCCTCCGAGGGTCGGGGAGGAGAAACCCAAGGCTCCTAAGGCGTCGTCTAGAGTGGAGGAGGGCAGTCTAGATGTGGTGGCTCCTCGTTCTGTCTCTGAGCACGTTTCCATCACAAAGCCAGATCCCACTGTTACCACGGTTAGTAGCTACATAGGTACATGATTATCTAATCAAGAGATAAGGTGAAAGAAAAATACTGATGTTTGTTTCCTGGGTAGTTGGGTCTTATCGATTAAGCAACACCTTGTTAGTCTAGGAATAGAGAGATAAGAAAAGAAGAGATAATGAAACTATTGATTTTGATGTTTAGTCATTGAACCAAACTATCGATTAACATTACATGTCAATGTAGTCTTAAAGCTTTAGGGCTGAATTTTGAGTTGATCTGATTTCTTGAACCAGTGTGTTATTCTTTCCTGTCTCAGCCTAAACCTACCTGCATGGTGCAGCCCATGACCCATGCCCCCATTGCAAGCAATGAGCGCCACGAAGAAGAGGAGGAGAAGAAGGTGTGCCTGCCTGGCTTCACAGGATTGGTCAACCTAGGAAACACCTGTTTCATGAACAGTGTCATCCAATCCCTGTCCAACACCAGAGAACTCAGGGATTATTTCCATGGTAAATAGTATATATTTTTTGTCTCCATAGTTAAACAAATTCACATTAGTTCTGGTATATTTTATTAGAATGCCCTGAAGAAAAACTCTTAATGTTGACCAAATGCAGAATTAATTATGCTGCTTTATGTCTCTGCCAAAGATAGCGGGCTGTTATGTTTCTAAGAAAAGATGCACGGGTACACAGATAAACAAATAATCCTGCCATGATTAATCATCAAAAATTATTGGCTGCCTGTGCTTGCTGATAGTCCAGAGACCAGAGAGCCCCACATGGTATGATAAGCGTTTATGCCTAAACTTTATCCTTAACTTAAAAAAATAGTTGAAAGAATTTTTCCAGAAGTTATTTAAATCACAGTTTCAGTAGCGTTTAGTATTTCCTTGTTTCCATCTACATACACAAAAAGTCAGTTAATGTAATTTAGCTGAAGTTTGACTACAAGTATATTCCACGTGTCCCTGCTTGTCCATGTACGTCTAAACTTCCAGTGACTTTCTGTTGACGTCTGTTTCTATTAATTCATACATGTCTTCTCTGTTTCCGTGTAGATCGAGCATTTGAGGCAGAAATCAACTGCAATAACCCGCTCGGAACAGGAGGCAGGCTAGCCATTGGCTTTGCTGTGCTGCTCAGGGCCCTTTGGAAAGGAACTCATCATGCCTTTCAACCCTCAAAACTCAAGGTAAACAACCCCAGCAGATCCTCTGCACAAAACATGTTCTACATATTTCTTTGAATTAATTATTATTTTAACTCTAAGTCTTTCTTTTAGGGAAATGTATTACAGTGAAATGTAATACCATTCTGATTATTACATTGTGATTGATGAAAATTGAAAAGTGTTTTCATTTTCCCTCTCCTTTCCATTTGTTTGTTTGCAACCAAACAGGCGATTGTGGCGAGCAAAGCCAGCCAGTTTACAGGCTACGCGCAGCATGATGCCCAGGAGTTCATGGCCTTTTTGCTGGATGGGCTTCACGAAGACTTGAACCGCATTCAGAATAAACCGTACACAGAGACTGTCGACTCTGACGGACAGCCGGATGAGGTGGGTGTTTCTCTCACCTATGAGATATCTAGAACCGGTGTGGATTTGAAGTCTCTGGCAGGAAATGCAGATAGCAGAGGATAACAAAAAAGTATATTGAAACCTTTTAGGGGGATATTTTTTAATTCAATAACAGCTACCATTATTCTTAAGTCTACCCAAAGCTTTGAACTGATGATCTCTTCTTTCTGTTGCAGGTGGTGGCAGAGGAGGCATGGCAGAGACACAAAATGAGAAATGACTCCTTTATAGTGGACCTGTTTCAAGGCCAGTTCAAATCCAAGCTTGTGTGCCCCACATGCTCAAAGGTAACACAAATAGCTTTACACAAAATATGTCTTTCTGCTTGCATGAACCTTTTGAAATCACTGAAAATGTAAACACTTTAACAGTCAGAGCCCGCATTTTTCATAGTAAGGATAAGACTTTTGGCTGTTGCATCATGTACATTTGTTGACGGTGTTGTGATATTAAGTAATGTGCGGTGTGAAATATGTTAACTGAGCGGGGTTGATCTTGCCACAGTCAGCCAAGTAACCAAATGGCATCTTCTGAACATTTCTGTTGATGAATTTTAATGTTTAATGTGAATACCTCTGACTTGTTACAGTGATGATGACCTGCTTTCATTCACCTTCCCCTTTTACTTTTCCCTCTTCTTCAGGTGTCCATCACATTTGACCCTTTCCTCTACCTGCCTGTGCCGTTGCCTCAGAAACAAAAGGTTCTCTCAGTTTTCTACTTTGCCAAGGAACCTCATAAAAAACCCATCAAGGTGAGATACAGTATCTTGTTTCTACTTAATGGCTCAAACTACATGCTGTGACGGCCAGCAATGAACATTTCAGAGGAAGACATGAAGATACTTTTGACTTTGACTTACTAACTCCTTTTGTGTGTGTGTGTGTTATCAGTTCTTGGTGAGTGTTAGTAAGGAGAACTCCAGCACAGTTGAAGTCCTTGAATCCATCTCCAGGAGTGTCCGAGTCAAATCAGAAAACCTCAGACTGGCAGAGGTTGGAAACATTCAGGATTTCACACCTTGATACTTTGAGCAATGATAGCGTGAATGTGAAAATCACTCATGGATACACTTCTTCCACTCAGGTTGGGAAGAACCGCTTCCACCGCATGTTCCTGCCGTCCCATTCCCTGGACACGGTGTCGTCCTCTGACATGTTGTTCTGCTTTGAGGTGCTTTCCAAAGACATGGCCAAAGAGAGAGTCATATTGCTCCAAGTGCAGCAGGTAATCCTGATTGTAGAATTCCACTGCATACTTAATATATTAGTTTTTACAGAAATTTTGAGGGGCCTTTCTTTGCTGTTCCTTTTCCTACAGAGACTGCAGGTCCCTAATATCCCCATCTCAAAGTGTGCCGCCTGCCTGAAGCCTCCAGTGTCTGAAGAAGACAAGCTGAAGCGCTGCACTCGCTGCTACCGTGTGGGCTACTGCAATCAGTGAGTAACACTGGAAAATGCTACCTCGCCCTCATTGAGATGTAATATTTGGATTCATTTCTGTTGAATGTGTCATTTTTGCCTTTATTAAAATCATTAACTCTCCGATGAACATGTAAACTCAATTCCCAGAGCGTGTCAGAGGACCCACTGGCCCAATCACAAAGCTCTGTGTCGACCAAACACTGAGAATGTGGGCCTGCCCTTCCTGGTCAGCGTGCCAGAGTCTCGACTCTCCTATGCCCGCCTCACACAGCTACTAGAGGGTTACTCCAGGTATGCATTTCAATCTTCAGCTCTTCATGTTTGTCACTATTCAAAATGAAACATTTCTAAAACAGTTTTTCAAGCAACTTAATAAGATATTTGCTTTTGCTCTGGCTGTTTTACACAATAACTTTTATGCACTAATTTGATGCAACTCAACACGTTGGTCTCATGTATGAATAAATGTTTGGTTTCACTTAACGTTGGACTAGCTGGAACTAGTAATAAGGAAGATGTATGTAGAGCACTGTATTGAATATATCCATCAATTAACATCCCTTAAACACAAATACAGTAAATGAGTTAAGTTTGTGCAGGTCAAGAGATTTACATAAAAACAAAGAATAAAATGTTTGCAATTACAACAATTAGACCATAACTCCCTCTATATTTTAATTCAAACCAGCTGCATGGATGACTAAATGAATATTCATCAATGCTTCACATACAGTATGGGCAAGGTTTGTTGCTTATAATGTTGCAGATACCCAACCCAGTGCAGGTCCTGCCTTACTTTATTTTGAAGAAAGAATTTGCGAAAAAAAGGCAAATCATTATATAAACACCAAGAGAAAACTAGGAACAGAAGTTGTTTTATTTCTATTAAGCTATCATAATGCCATCTGGCACTACTATGTGTATGAGATTATTAGAGAAAATAAGTTAAATGTCTGATATACTGCTGTGTACTTACGTAAGATGAAGTACACATTTTTAGTGGCAGCTGATGATAATCACTCACTTAGAAAATGTAGCGAGCTCACCATGTAACTTTCCCTAATGTCTCTCTGTCTGTAGGTTCTCCGTCAACGTGTTCCAGCCTCCTTTCCAGTCAGGCAGGACGTCCCCCGAAACGTCCCAGAGCCGGGACCTTCCTCAGATGCCAGCAGGCTCTCCCGAGGGTCCTGGGCCCGGGGCTGAAGTAATGAGTGATAGCTGTACTGTAGGATCAGGGGATCAGGAGCTGCAGAGTCCTTCCCTGCTCCCTGAATGCCAGGGTGAGTGTGCACAGGCCTCCGCCCTCCACCCTGCAGAGTCAGAATCCCTCTCCTCCTCCCAGACCTCACTCTCCACTACACAGACGACAGATTCAGGATTTTCTGAGCCAGTCTCCTCCACTTCCTGCTGCTCTCTGGACCCTCATGCTGAAAAAGAGACGACTTGTGAGAAGGCTGTGCGGCCAGAAGGTAATAAAAAAAATACATCTTAAAAATATCAAATTGTGAATATATAGAATTTCCTGTTCTATGTTTGATATATTTCTCTTTTTTGCCGTTTTTGTTTTGGTAGCTGCAGTAACAGGGTATCAGCATCCAAGTGAGTCGGCTTCAGGTCATGCAAGTCAGTTCTACATAGCCCTGCTGGATTCCAACAACAAGGAATTGAGACTGGATGAGAAAGGTAAGATTTGCCCAAAGACTTATTTTTTAAGTGGGATTCCTAGAATACCTGTTTTTTCAGTTCAGCTTGTTTAGGTTTGTTTAAAAAAGATGATTTACTGCATATCCATAGTTATTTTAGCACACTAAGTTGAGGTATTCTCATCTCTTGATGGGTAATAAATGTATTGCTCTGTATACTGTTATCCAAAAGAAAATAATACTAGTATTGTTTTTCTCTATCGCCCAACCTTTACAAACCCTTTTACAGAGGACGCTCTGGAAGCACTCCCCGAGGATGCGACCCTGGTGCTAGTGTGGAAAAACAATGAGCGTCTGAAGGAGTATGTTTTGGTGAGCTCTAAGGAGTTGGAATATGAGGAGGACCAAGGCTCTCTGAGTGAAACAGCCAGAGCAGGACACTTCACCCTGGAGCAGTGTCTCAACCTCTTCACAAAGCCAGAGGTGCTGGCACCAGAGGAGGCATGGTAGGCATCTTTATACTGTATTAATTAATCTCATTGTTTTTTTTATCTCTGTTGTTTCCTTCATGTTTCCCAGTGTGCAAGGTCCCACAGTATTTTTCCATTTTCCATTGGGGTCAGAGAAATGTTATTCATTTTGAATACCCCCTCTCTTTTTTTAAGGTACTGTCCAAAGTGCCAGCAGCACAGAGAGGCCTCAAAACAGCTACTCCTGTGGCGTCTGCCAAACGTTCTGATCATCCAACTCAAACGCTTCTCCTTCAGGAGCTTCATCTGGAGGGATAAGATCAATGACATGGTTGACTTTCCTGTCAGGTAAATTTACAGTGAAAATAGGAGTTTTCACCACATGTCCAACTGCAACACAACACTTAATTTCACCAACTTGTCCTCTAGGAATCTGGATCTGAGTAAGTTCTGTATTGGCCAGAAGGATGAAATGCAACAACCCCCCATCTACGATTTATATGCAGTCATTAACCACTATGGTGGAATGATAGGAGGCCACTACACAGCCTACGCTCGCCTGCCAAGTGACAAGAACAGCCAGCGCAGTGATGTTGGTGAGTATCCTGTAAACAAGATTTGTTCAGATCATTTTATACCTGTTGGTACTTCTGATAATGTCCTTTTCGTTAATTCCATTAGGTATAGATAAAGCCATGGTCCACAATCTGAACAATGAGGTTTTTGATCTGTTGCTTCCTTATAAAATTCTCACATAAGAAAAAAACAGGAAGAGAGAGCAGACTTGCAGAAGTAGATCCTTTCAAAAAACTATCAGAATTACAATCTCATTGGCTCCACGAAGTCTGAGTTCACACTGCAGTGACTCCGATGTTGTTTTTAATGACAGTGTGAACAGAACAAGGCACATGGAATCTGATCTTTTCTAATCAGATTTGCGCCACTGTCTTAATGTGGATTCCCACAGGAATCTGATACAGACAAAATGTAAAAAGCAATGTGAACAGAAAAATAAAATCACATGTAAACAAAAAAATCCGGATTGAGCATTAAGGCTTGCAGTGTGAACACAGCCTTAGTTGCTGTAATAAAAAAAAGTGTTATTGCTCACAGTGTATTCATCCACTGCATGATAAACTCCCTATGAAACTCAAAAGCTAGATGAGATGAAGGGATTTAGGATATAGACCCAAGACAGGAACACACTTTGAATACAAATACAAAAACATCTCCGACACAAGAACAGTTTCTTTCTGCAGTTGAATGAACCGTTAAGAGAGGAAATAACCATGTAATAGAAAAATATGAATTGTAAATGTCCATGTAAAGTAACTCAAATCTATCTTTGTACACATACTAGACTATTCAAGTCAAATCTGATTGCTCTCGTCTGCCACTCTGCTGTTAACGACCCTCTTTGTTCAACAGGCTGGCGTCTGTTTGATGACAGCACTGTGACCATGGTGGAGGAGTCTCAGGTGGTGACGCGTTACGCCTACGTCCTCTTCTATCGACGGCGAAACTCCCCCGTGGAGCGACCACCTCGCTTCCTCAGGCCTGTCGGAGCCGAATCGCCCAATGCTGCAGGAGCTACTGCCAGCCAGGTGAGGGCGCCACAATAACAAGATACTTCCTGATGATAATTACATTTTCATTATTTGACGTTTCACACACCTCACCTCACACAAAAAGTTTCTGTTCATCAGAATCCAATGTAAGAAGTTAATTAAAGAAACACTTGGCTTAACGCTGATGCAAGGTTGGACAGAGAGTGTTTGAGATTGGGTGAAATATGTTTTGAAAATATCAATTACAGAAATAGTGCAATGAGTGAGGTGTGAAAACTGAGTCCAAATAAAAGAATCTATTTGTATACATATATCCTGTTAAAATAAGGATGTTTTCACATTATGTTGTATCACATTGTGACTGCTATGTTGGGAAACCGTTCTGATTTTTCAAAAGACATTGCTAGTTGTATTGTGTTTGTCACTTATCAGGAACTAACAGTATTTGACAGGTCATATGAGACATGTTTTTATGTTGACTGTATCGAAGGAATGATGTCTTTTTACTAAGCTTGTGCAGTGACGAGCCTTATAGCCACTGACTGGTGGGTTTATAATGGTATGATCCATCACTGACATGGTCTTTGAAGCTCAACACTTCTCGCTGTCAGGCAGAATTTGTTGCATTGCACTTTGTTCGTAGCTTCAGTGGAATGCTAACTTGGTAAAGATTTCTTATTCAATCATTGGGCTAAGAGAGAGTGATGAAATGGTTGTCAACAATTTTTAATGTCAATACATTTAAGTTTAGGTAAGTTGGGATGTCCTGCAATTTTAAGCATGGTGAGTCTCTACAGGAAAAAACGAAAGATTTATCTAATTAATGCAGTTCACATCACAAGTGTGACCTTGAGTTGCTTTTGATGACATCAGATTGTGGATGATTTTAAGCGGTAAAGGCATAAACGGTTCTCCTCTAAAGCAAAACATACATAAAGACAAAACCCTTTTTAAAAGTGATTGTAGTCGGTTTTGTCAGTGAATGTGATCAAGTCCATTTTCAAACTTTTTTCCTGGTTTGTTCCATGTTTATTGTAAGTATTGTAGACAATATGGGTAAAAACATAGACTCCTTAGGGTTCTTGGGTATTTAATTTACTCATTGCTTTATTTTAGATCATGCAAATTCCACCAGATTTTGTAGGACTTTCCAAATGTCCCATTTGATCGTTAATCAATATGCAGTGGAGGCATGCAATCAGCTTTTGATGATTAAATTCTGTCCGGTAGAAGACCTATCTTGTCATTTTAGTATTTGTTAGACCATGCCTATTCCCAGAAGTTGACACCGGTTTCCGCCAATCGCAGGCCTCTCTAATATGGCGGGAACTGGAGAACGAAGAGGAGGGGCTCGACGAGAGCCCCCCTGGACTGTTCCGCTCTGTGCTGCGAAGAGGAAAAACGCTGAGGAACAGAGATGAGAATGAGGAAGACAGAACTGAAGGACCGATGCGGCAGCACCGCAGGCGGAGGGTGTCGGACTATCCTGACGATGACTGTGTGCGATATTTTGTTCTGGGCACCCTGGCAGCCATGTTTGCTCTCTTTGTCAATTTGGTCTACCCTCTTTTGTGCAAAACCAACTGGACCTGAGAGGGGCTGGTCTGTCTGTATATTCCTGTGGCTTGAGTTTAGACATATGAATGTGAGGATGGTCAGAGAAGCACATGTTCGATAGTAAACTAAGGAATACGCAATTTAGCTCTATAAAATAAAAAATAAAATATATATATATATATATATATATATGTTTCTGTTTCTATGAATTAAAAACCCTTTAAAATACTCTCTTTAAAGTAAGGCAGTGGGTTTAAAATGACAGCAATAGTTTCCCTTGTAGTTAAAGCTGCAGAACAGTGAGATAACAGACTCACATGTTCTGTTTGAGCTGGTCACAACTTTGCCTCTGTTACTTCGTACCACAGTTATACTTTTTAATGTTACATTTTGAAAAGGGTTCTCACGTCATGGAGCTTAAAGTTTTTTAAGGTAAAAGTTCATTCCTGAGTTTGGAAATCATCGGTAGACAAGTTTCAATGAAAAGAGAGGAGGTTTAGAGCTTTCCCCTTTTTTTAAAGTTTAGGTCATGTTTGTGTCCGAGAAACAATTGATGGAGATGCATTGAGTGCTAAAGATCTGAGAAAAAAGAACGTACTCTAGAGCTACAGATGAAGCCATTGTTGACGGCCTTCTGTTTTAATTGCACTAAACTATTGAGACAAAAATAATCATGAGTGACTCATTTTAAATGTTGTATCATGAAACAAATAGAAAGCTCTTTATTTTGTGACCAATCGTTATGAACTTAAATAAAATACAAATTGTAATTATCAGCCTTAACATTTCTGTCCAGCCAACAAAGTGTGTTTTTTTAAAGGCTCTTTTCTGCAACGTGCTGTAGTACACTGTAATTATTGTTCATTTCCCATAATGCTTTGATTTTTGTTTTTTCTTAAAAAGTCTGGTTTAGTTTCTTAGATTCACTGTAGACGAGTGAAGGTACTAAAAATTATGAATCAAAGTCCCATCCACCTCTGAATGTAAAGGTTTCAGTGTGTTTCTTTATCTTCAGAGGAAAGCAAAGACAAAGGTTGATGATTGTGGACAGTTTTGGATCTCTACGTTTTTACAAGTTGTTGATGATTTTCTTGTTTGATGAGCATGATCTAAAACATGATGTTTCACTCTTTTTGAAGTCCTTCCGTGTCCAAGCTGTCCACAGATCAGTTCTTTACTCTGCTGCTGTGATTGTGAGTGCTTGTTGGTCTCAGGGAAATCTTAGTGCTCTTCTTCTATGGAGGCAGTGTCCAGTGTCCTACGGTTGCCTTAAATGCCTAGCATCACTTGGAGTACTTTCAGACTGTGTAAACTTGATGCAAATTTATGCAAACGCTCAATCTGTGTAGATGTACAATTCTTTGTGAAATACAGTTTTTGTTAAACGTACACTAATTCAAAGTCTCCCAGGGCGCAACTTTAAAAAAGGCTGTTGAGTTTTCAGCACACACTCTGCAGATTGAGTTCTCTAAATGCTGTTGTGTTTTGATTGGATGACCTGAATTGATGATGTCATTAAGTGTGAGTGTCTCCTGTCTGCCGTAAAATGTCGATTGAAAAGAATAATGGAGGCCAGGGTTGGCTAATGGTTGAAAAAAAATCAAGTACTGTATTTAAAAGAAAAAATGATAACCTATGATAAGTCTCTGCAATAATGTCTGTAGAAACCTCCATCTAAATGCTGCTTTCTAATATATAGCAATGTACTCCTTTTGGAAATAAAATCTCCATCCCTTTATCACCTTTTTTTGTATGCATTTATTCAGTCACGTCATGTCCTCACCGTTTTCTCCCAACAGGTGACACATCCCAGAATCCAAGACCAGCATGATTTATCGTTACCACTGGTTTATTTTACAGGCCTCTAGCCAGTCACTATTTGGGCAAGACCTGGATCCCGAAGGACCACCCACCCTGACGCCCGAGGTTCCCTCTGACCTCTTCGCCCACTCAGGAGAGTGTGCCGCTCCATCCTACAGCAACATGGAGGAAGTGGACTAGTCACGGCAAGGACTAACAAAAAAAGAAGATCAGAGCTGATTCAGGTGCTGAATTGAAGCGGCTCCTTCTTCGCTAAAGGACACATCAGGGCTCTTTACAAAATCTGGTGTCATTCAACGCTGCAGTGCTAGAAGATCTGGAAGTGGGCGTTAAGAACTGGACTGAACCCACTTGTGAAAGACCTTCAGGTGTAATTCTAACTAGACCTTCACAACACTGATATAGTCAGGACAATACACATCCCCATTGATAAACCTCTTACAAGCTGTCTATGTAGTTATTCAGCGCTTAGTCTCACAGAAGCTCACACTCGTCAGTAATCAGAGTTTCTGTTAGCAGCTCATTATAGCGACTGCTACAAGACTTGATACTCTAAAAACATAGTTCAGTGGAGTGCCTGCTAGGCTTCCACACACTTTGTTGTCAGAAGTAAGCTAAAAAAAAACAACAACTCACTTTTAACCTTAACCAGACATGTTAATCCCGGGCAGACGCTATGGTCATAATTCAAGTTAATTTGGGGAGTTTGAGGAAAGTTTGTTGAACTGTGAGCACATTTGTTCTTGTTGTTTTTTTTTTTTTTAAATCTTTTGCGAGGTATTTCCTGGTTTGATTTGTTTGTGGCAGGCTTTTGTGTAACATCGATGGGAGTTGAAGAAGTGGATGTAAACAGAAAAAGAAATGTGAGACTGGTGCTGACCTGCTGCTTTTTTTTAATACAGAGGGCACATGCTTTTTCTGTCTTTTGTTGCATTATAAACTTTCCTTTTTTTCTGCTGTAGTGTATTGGTATTGTTTATCTCTCTTTCTTTTTGTACTTGTTTAGATATTCAATCCTGTGGATGCAATTGTCAAAAGGCTTCAGTATAAACTGAAATGTGCATGACTGCATGTTGATACAGGCTGTAATCCCGGCTCCTGTTGAATATCTCCCTCCCCTCTAAAACTTGGCTACATTTAGTTATTTCAGTTTTGCGTGACTTGTCCCGTCTCAGCCCTTCCCTCCTTTGTAATGAAATGCGTATATAAATTGGGGATCATTACAGATACTGCTGTGGATACATAATAAATGGTTAATATAAATAAAACAGTTTGGGAACCTGGTGATAATGGTGTTGTTTTTACACTTCTCTTAGATGTGATTATTCCTACAGATTAAATATGTCACAAGTTGTCTGCAGGATTTTGGTAGTGTCATAATGCGTTTTGGGATTGAGTAGTTTTATGGGCAATAATCAATATAATCTGTCACGCCAATCATTAAAAGTCTTTACACTAAGATTTAAATAAATAAGACCAACAAGAGAGGACAGACCGTTCTCACCGTAGGAAACAAAACCCTAACATGAGGCCTACAGTTTGACAAACTTCAAAACTACAAATATAAACATGAGGTGGGAGGATTAAATTAAGCGCTACAAGCATAAGCAAATTGTATGATGAACATTAAAGTATGTGGATAAAAAGTTTATTTTTTCATTTTCCTTATGTATCTTTACTTATAGAGATAAAATGCTGTTCTCTTAGCCTCCAACAGTGAAACATCGATCAGTCAATACATCTTTGTTTGGTGCCAATTTGTCACAACAAATGTTATCTAAAGGCGCGTTACAAAAGAGAAGGAAAACACCCTACTCACTTTTTCATTATCTACAAAGACCCAACATTAATCCATCACGAGCACAGCACTAAGCAACATTTAGTAAAGTTACAGTGGCAAGAAAAAACGTCCTTTAACAGGCTGAAACCTTGAGCAGAACCAGACTCATGATGAACAGCTGTCTGCTGAAACTGTTGGTCTTGGAAAGTGGGATAGAGGGAGATACAGGAAGAAGAAGACAAACAGCAACAACAATGAAAAAGGTGTTATAGCTACAATGTCAGTGATAATGGTTAAGCATGTGTAGTATTAGCAGTAACAGCTAAGTGTTACAATAGACTGATCAGCCTAATATTAAAGCTGGCAGCTGGAATGATGATAAAACATGATTATGTTAATTATAGAGGTTGAAGTTGAGCAGCTTTAAGATTCACTTTAATATTTATATTAATGATAACAGATGTAAGGCTCTGGGTTTAGCTCTAAGGTTCACTTCACTCGTTATAACAATGATGTTAAAATATAAATATACCTAAAAAAAACACCCTTCAATAAAAAAACAAACCTACTAAAAAAATGAATCACTTGTAAAAATACACTCTGATTGATTAACAGTAAAAGCATTTTATATCTTTAAGATGATTTTGAAAAAGTTTTTGCTTTTGCTAAATAAAATAAGTTGGACTATGGCAAAGGAAGAATCATTATTGTGGGTAAAGTTGAAATGTAAATATATCCATTACTAGAAATACAAATATATGATACAGATATAGAAATACAAATGGACAATCCTAAAAAGGTAGTATTTTTCACTGTTGGTAACTACCTTAAGTAGCCTTTAGGTTTTAAGACTTTTTTCTTAAATACTTTATGATAAGCAGGACTTCCTAATGTATTTGTTTTACTCTACACTGCTGTCTCATTATATTATAATCGTGGGAAAATATTAAAATAAGTTAGTTCAAAGGTGTGTTAATCCACGACACTTTCATCATGCTTGTTTTCATGGTATAACTTTCTTTGTGGGTTTTTATAATTCAGCATTTGAGTGAAATGTGTGCAGTTTAAATGTTCTGCAGCACCGGAAGGGGGCGCACTTTCCTCCGTCCGTAGTAAACAATTAATTGGTGCGTAGAAGAAGGAAATGGCATGGGGAACGAGGAAGTAACAACCGGCACATCAACACGGACAGCTGAGCCGGTAAGAGAGCAACTTTTAGTTGAAATATTTACACGCCACAAGCTGTCGACATTGTTCACATTCATGGCGGAGCTTCGTGAAAATAACAGCGGAGAAAATGAAGAAGCTGACGGGACAAAGAGCAGAGAGGTCCCGGAGGTTCTGTGTGAAACAGGTGACCCCGCGGTGACAGGACCTCGGGGACTCTGGTCAAATCACGAGCGGAGGAAAAAGTTAGTCCTGCATGTGGACCTCAACAACACCATCCTGGTGTCTGACGCCGTGACGTCTCAGGGGACTGTGGCTGCTCTGGACTACTTCCTCTCTACTGTGACTTGGGGGAAAATGAACAAACAAGGTAAACTGGAATCTATGCATTATGTGTTCACACTGGTCAGGTATGTGCAGGCTCAGTCACCTGATTATGTCTTTGTCACAGGACACATTGTTCTTGCGGCTGAATGCCATTCTAAACATGAGTGCATTTAAAATCCACTTTCTCGTTTGCCATTTCTAAAGATACATATATCCCAAATGGTTATTAAAAAGAGTATGTAGCCAGGATATAGAGACGTTCACTATTGGTATACTGGACTGAAACTTGCAGTAGGCTACAACCAATAAATAAACAAACAAACCAAAACTTTAAAGAACCGTTGTTTATCTTTCAGAAATCCACTCACAGTTATTAAATTATGTGTTTTGTTGACTTTTGCATTTTGAATCTAATTCTACAATCTAGTAGTCATTTTATTGTCTTATCTTCTTAGATACCAAAAGTTTGTGGATTTTTACAGTCTTGTATTTACCTGTCTTCTGTTTTTCTTAATGATTTGTTGTCTGTCTTTAATACATTCTGTAATGACTCGATGTCATTGTAAATGAAGTCCTCACTGATCTTATAAATAAGTGTGTATATATATATATATATATATATATATATATATATATATTTATTTATACTTGTATAGAGAATATAAGTATAAATAAAGGTTGAATGAATGAACGATGGTGTATAGTAGCCTGCCTTGGATTAGAAATTAGGGTGAGGAAAATATTGATTTGTGAGCCTTTGCTCTGCCATTGTCATGTATGTTACATAATTATACTTGTAGAAGGCAAAGCTTTCAGTTTAGGTTTCTGAGTATCATCGCCAGATAAGATTTTTTTTTTAAAATGGCCAATGTCTTATATTTACAGATAAGGAAAGCAGATACAACACAGATATCATGTTGTTTATCATATTATATATATATATATTTTATTATTATTATTTATTATTTATTTTGCCTCATAAAATACAACAATTGCCTGTTATCTTGAAATGACACTGAAAACTAATTTAGCTGAGCACGAGTCTACAGCCCTTCATTCAAGAGTTAAATAAATATATTAAAATGTTTGTTAAAGCATATGTGCCCAATTCTCCCAGAGCCTTTGGGGAAATATGATTGTTCATTTCTTTAACTTTATTATTTGTTGGTTTCAAAACTGCATTTTAATTTTATATCAGTTCTATGGTCAAGCTCAGTGAAATCCTTAGATCACCCTTAGGTGGCAGGTCACACCTTAGTACATTACCAGCACCCTCCTCTCCTCCTGTGATCAGTTCAGTGTGTTCGCTCAAAAAAACAAAAACAAAGTGTAAAATGTGTCTCCCCTCATCTCTATGCAGGAAAGTGGGAGTGGCTGAGTGACTCCGCCTCTCTGCTCCCACCATGCGATGATGCTGTTAGTTACTACTCTCAGTTTGGAAGGACACTGGGTTTCACCTCTGCTGCGGGCCGATGTTTCCGCGGGGTTCTGGATCAGCATCTGGATCTGCTTCGCTGGCCAGAGGGTGTCAAGGTAAGAACCATTAAAATAAAAAATAGACTAGAAGGGTACGTGGAAAGTGTCAGCACAAATTCTGTTGTGGCTTGAGTTGAGAGAGAGCTCTCATTTCTCTGATCACTTGTTTTAACATTCAGAGTCTGAAGAACCCAAGAACTCTGTTTTTAACTTCACCACTTCAGATGTATCTTTCCAGTTGTTCATAATCCATATTTAAACAAGCTCTGTTAGCCTTTAGGGTTTTACACACTTGTGGAATTTCAACTTTTAAACATCTAGCTTGAAGCTAAGGTATATGTTTAATAATAAAATAATCTGTAGCTTGTGCAGTCATGATGGGATAAACAGCAGAATTTGAAGAATTTCATCTCTGCACTTCAACTCTTAGAGACACATACGTTCAGCTCCTGAACTTCACATCTGGATGGGATCAATCATGGCTTTCTGGTTTTGTGTAGCTGAGATATCCGAGGCAATTAAGAAATCCCCACAGGATGGAGCGGATGGATTCAGAGTCGAGTTCTACAAACTGTTTCATGAAGATTTAACAACTTTCTAACCCAGGATGATAAATGATTCAACTGCAGCAAAAAAAAACCCACTTTCACTCTACGAGCTGAGTGTTCATCTATTATTCAAAAAGAAAAGAAACAAATCCAATAGATCCTGCTGACTACAGGCCTGTTTCTTTCTCAATCTATTTTGGTTACAAAACGTTAGCATTTAACATTAATCTACTGCAATCAAGCTGACCACATCCCAGACAGGCTTTCCAATGATGTATTCAGATGGAGGTCAAAACTCTCGAGCAGCTGCTGGAGTGGAAATCTTTTGACTTGAAACTTTCAGTCGGTTTGAAAAGGATTTAACTTATTATCTCGATACCCTAGGTAGCAGCTTATCACCAAATTCTCTGAGGATTCTGTACCTGTCAGGGAAAAGCAAATCAGTGCTGTGTTTCCTGATTAAATATGGAGGACCACACTTCTCCTGTTTTCTCATGTGATAAATAAACAGAACACACACTAATGAAAACTGTGAATTGCTCTGAGCTAAATTAACCTCAGGTCATGCTCTCTCAGGTGTCTCCACTTTTTTGATACATGTACATGAAATGATGGTGCATTATTGCATTAATTTATGAACTGAGTGACCACCTCTCTATCCTCTTTGGTCTAAAATGTTTTTTGGAGTTTAACATAGTTGTCTTTCCTAAGACTTTAGAGGGACTTGATGTCTCCCTTCGCACACTCTCACAGCTCCATTGATAAACACAGTATCTACAAATTAAACTCTTTCTCTAGGAGTGGAAGAACGCCATAGAGCTTTGGAAACTTGTTTCTGTTATAAACTTTGGGAATCTGCAACCTAACAATTTAATTTGTAAATTTAGATTGGAAGAAGAGGGTTATTACCCAATTTGGCTGCAACAGAGCTTTATGAATTGATCTGACATTTTTCTGTCTTTGATTGGTTCCAGTATCCTCCCTTTGTCTCGATTGGTTACACGGATGATACATCATTTACAGCCATGTAGTTTCAATTACCGCTCTTATAGGTCACATATTATGCAAAATGCACCTACCTGTGTTTTTCTCTAACACTATTAAGTGTCCCTAGTCTGTCTACAAATGATGGGAAAAGTCCATCCTCTCCGTCTTTCACCTGCTCCATTTTTAAGAAAATGTGTGCTCAAACAGGCCGTTAGGAGATTTTCACTTTGTGACATCACAAAGGGCAGTAACCCCTCCCCCAGGTGGGTGACACTCCCACAGCTAGGTGTTTGTTCTGCCCTCTGAGTCTGCCTTCTCACCGTAAACAATAGTGTGAGAAAGCCCAAGCCCTTCCAGAGAGGGGGAGTGGTCAGACACAGCTCATTTGCATTTAAAGGTACAGACACAGAAACAGCCTGTTCTGAGCAGGGCTGAACTAGAGGGGTTTATAGACATGATCAAATACAGGATCAGAGTGGTTTATAGACATGATCAGAGTGGTTTTATAACAAGAAACTTCACACACATGTTTTTGGGGACCTCTGAGACTTTTTGAAAAGGAGTTTAATATGTGACCTTTAAATACCTGTATGTCTCTCCCCATGGAGGGCTGTATGTATTTAAGTTGGATTTGGCCTTTTGGTGGTTTATATTTCAAGTTAAAAAAAAATAAAAATGAAGCCTGATCTGTTTGGAATCCTCTCAACTCATTAGAAGCTTTGGATTTTAAATACCTCACCGTTTACTGTAATGACACTTCTGTTGGCGCCTTAACGGTGTACTGTAGTTGTTCCAGAAGATTAAAGACAAATCCCAAACAGTGACTCCTGGGGGTGTAGAGATTTACAGGTGTAGCCCATAACAAGCTTCTCTCCCCGCTTCAGGGGGAAGAAGACACATGTCTTATATATCTGGCAAATAATTATCACCACTTAGCAGAGGAAATTTAACACTTACCAAGAGGGGGTCACTTACTTTCAGAGTGATTCCCATCAGAGAAATCTCTTTCTTTCTTTCTTTCTGTCTTTTGTTTTAGCTTGCTTTTTCCTATCTAGAAACTTGTAGTCCTCTTTAATGTGTGAAAGCATTTTAGTAATAGAAACAATATTCTCGAGCCCTGGTTCAATGGTCCATCATGTGTTTTTGACCTCTCCTTCACTCTGGGCCCCGCAGGGAGACAAAGACATGTCTGTGAAAGGAGAGGACGGTCGCCTGTACCACTGGATCTTGCCCTCCTTCTTCCAGCTCTTTAAAGACCTGGTGCAGGATGGGCGGGACTTTGCCATCATCTTTCGTACGTTTGGAACCGATCTACCTCGTGTGCTGAATGCTGTGTCCAGAGCGCTGAATGAAGGAGTGCATCCACTGTTCCCAGATCTGCCTGAACTCAAGGTGCAGGAGAATCACTTATCTTCATTATTTAGCTCTAAACTAATATAAGACATTGCTACAACAAGGCAGTATTTTATTTATTTTGCTTATGAAATATGTGACATGGTTAGAAAATACTAATAATAAATACATCTGAAGGGGTTCTCAGTTTGGTTGCACAATATGATTTTGTGTGAACAGACATGGAGAATTGATTATTACCTACTTACATGGCTAATAAAGATAGAACTACTCTCACATAAGAAAAGTCCCTTCAGTTTATGCACACCAGAGAGTAATAGGGGCTAAAAGGCATGAACAAAGATAGATGAAGCTTTCAGAGATCTTGCAGAAAATGTATTGCAAATGTTCATTCAGGTTGTCTTCGTTTAAAACTGTAAAAACAAAACAAAAAACTGCCACAATGATAACCATATTTAGTCACAGTTTAGTTAGAGATACAGTCAACGCTCTGCAGGAATGATGACTGAAGAAAGCTCCATAACTTTTTTACCCAAGCATTCATGTCTGCCCTATGGTGTATACAACATTAAAGTAATAATCATATTAGACAACATTTAAGAAATTTAAATGTATACATAACCTGTAATTGGCTAATGTTAGATGCTAATGTATAGCCCTTGTACATGTACTGTATTTATTATTAGCTCTATGTGTGTATGTAAGTGAGGGAAAGTACAGATGTTCTGTTGAACAGCGTGACATTCTGTGGCCTTTAACAAAGACTCTGCCACCCACACACACAGAATCACACAGGCATGTTGTTGACTCCCCTCCCAGAGAGTTTCCACAGATGATGGGGGAGGTCAGGTGGAAGAGAAATCAGATGTGAACCTGGCAGACTCTGAGGATTTTTATTCACACACTCTCCTGTCAGATGGAGGGCAAATTAAATAATGGGGACTTAAGCTGATGACATTTTTTTAAGTTATTATCAGAATGACTGGAGTTAAATTTACAAGTTTAGTGAATGTTTGTAAAAACATTTTTGAAATATATTTCACTCTGAACCAAAAGAAGTGCACTGACTTTCCAAATGATATTGTAATCGGTTTGTAAAACCAGATACAAACCACTCACATGGCTGAAATCAGTTTGAACATTTTAGGTTATGAGCACTTGTTCTACATTTTGTTTTTCATAATTAATTTATAACAACTCTTGAGGCAGAATTGCTTACTGCTGGAGGTCTATTATTGTGTTTTTCCCCAGCATTGACTGTATAAAACATGGATGTCTCAGTGACATCACACACTGCTTTTTGAACATGCTCTATGAAGTCTAACGATGGTGGTTGCCATATTGGAAATGCTGTCTCATCCTAACTTTGGATCGATCTACTTATAGGCAGGGAGTTAGCTGAGGCGGGACTAAAGCATTCTGGCACACAGCTACAAAGCTCCCACCTGTCAGTCAACTCAGCCGTGCCCATAATTATTTAACCTTATAAATATGGATTGATAAAATAAAAAATAAGTTCTAAAAAAAAAAGTAAACGCCTGTACAGTGTGTCCCAAAAAAGAAAAGAGCTAATGATACAAAATTCTATTTGAAGGCTGTAAACATGTTTATTTCTGCTGAAAAATTAGCATTTTAATATAAGACCGAATGGGGATTCCTCAGCTTTTGCAACCAGTGTTTTTTTTTTTGCACATCATCTTTATTTTTTTTAACACCACAGGCTTCCTACCTTTACTTCCGTTTTCTTTGTGCTCTGTCTCTGCTTCTTTTCTTGAAATAAACCCTGCAAGAACATAACTTACCTATACTGGCAAGCGGGTTGTGAATCCGACCTACCCCATCCTCTCCTATTCAGGCACATAAAATGACACTTATCAACCTAAATGTGGCACAACTATTATATTTCTGTTTTTGCAACAGACTTTTATAAATAGACTTTTTAATTTATTTTTAACTCCATAAAACAACATCAAGCTCAGAATCCTTTAGAAGCAGGCACTATAAAAACATGTTGAGAAAAGTCGAATGTTGTTATTAGAAATCATTTAGTCCAAGTCTGCGTGCAGCCATGTTGTCCCAACATAGCTTAACCTAGCCTTTGTTCTCTCTCTCTCTCTCTCTTTGTGACTCTTTGTGACTCTGACTCCCCTTTTTTGCTCTTTGCTCAGCTTAATGTGAACTTGACTCCAGGCAAGATCCGCTGCAGTAAGAGAGCGATCGTCCTGAGCCGAGCTGAGGACCGCGTGTCATCTTGTGATGGAGAGAGAGGCCTGTATGAGTACCTCAGCTCAGTCCAGGGCCTGGGAGGCTTCCAGGACCACTTTGACTGGTAGACTCAACACTCCTAAAGCCAGCTCCTTCATTCCTTTACCCATCATTTTCTAAATCTCTCTGTGGATGTTTCTCCTCTAGGTGGGCTAGTAACAGGTTCTCCATCCGTGGAGGGAAGCCTTTGTGGGTCGACCCTTTTGACCAAAACGTCCAGCACATCTTTATAGACGACAATATTCGACAGAATGATGAAGACACTATAGTTCAGCCAAAGGTACTGTCACTGCTTTTAAAGTTTTGTAGATTTTTTACTCTAAAATATATACATTAATTAAAAATTGACTAAGCCTATGTTTTTGTTGTTGTTGAGTACTTACATTAGCTCAATATTTCCAACAGTTATCAAAGCCAAAGAAATACTGAAATGTATCGTTGTAACTGGACTTGTCTGGTCGTGGCGGCCGCCAACACATAGCCGCCATGACATACACAACATGTTTATCGTAGCCATGGAAACATCGAAGGTTACGTTGAAGACTGCTGCATAAGGATGTGTGAACTGGCACTGAAAGCTGCTGTACGTGCTGCTGTGTTAAAAACGTCTTGTAAATTATACTTCCATACATCGTTGGTAAACATCATTGACAGATTTCCCACAATCCATTAATTTATTCTCACTTTCTTCCACTCTTTCCTTCGGTTTCTCTCTCTCTCTCTCTCTCTCTCTCTCTCTCTCTCTCTCTCTCTCTCTCTCTCTCTCTCTCTCTCTCTCTGTGTGTGTGTTTCTCAGGTGTTTTTGGACCCAGGTAGTGTTGAGACTCGCACAGCCTGCACCTCTGAGCTTTATGACATCACGCTGGTCCAGACCGACCTCCTGAGGGCCATTTCCGACCCGAGCTACTTCACCCAGCGTGTCAACATCTGCCTGGAAAACTATGACAGGAACCTCCAGCAGGGGGCGGGCTAGAACTTTGATCGACCCCTTTTCTCATGTATGTCTGTTGGTCTCCGAGACAACCTGCAGTTTAGGGTTCCATAAACACAGAGCGTACAATCCACGCAGACACAGTAGACTCTAGTTCAGACTGTTAGAAGAAAGACTGACAAGGTGTTGAAGGAAGAGTGTTCAGAAAACTATAAATCAGAAGAAGTGTACTTAAGGACGAAGGTTACCTGAAAGGGAAATGAAGGAACTATTTCAAAATAACAGATTAAAAAAAAAAACTTTGTTCATGGAACTCAGACTTGTAATGCCCTCTTTGCGATGAACGCCTGTTCTTGCAATTTGTAAATTGGGTTAAGATCAAAAGTTAGCTAACATTTGGTTGAGGGGGTACGATTACACGTAGTGGGACATGACTCCCTGGCAGAAAGCTCAGAAGAAAACCAGAACTAAAGTTATTATTTTTAATTCAGCCATCATGACATAAAAGAAAAGATGTAACAGGAAGTTTATTTATTTATGGTTTATTTGATAGGACAGATTCAGTATACATACACAAACTGACAGCAATCCAGTAGCATAGTGCTTATAGCGTGTGCTAATTTGCAGCACTGAAAATAGAAGATTAAAACAGTTAAAAAGGAAAAAGAACAATAAATTGGGCACTGTAGGGTCCAATAGGACACACATTTAGCTTTGATATAGCTACAAACAATTAGATGTGAGTACAAGTCTGTTGCTGAACTTACCAGGATTTGGTGTCTCTCTTAAAAGCGGTAAAGTTTGCAGTAAGCTTCAAGTAATCAGGCAGCGAGTTCCAAGATTTTTTGCTCCTTTCACAGAAAAAGCTGTTTGAGCAAAGGACGTTTTGAATAAATAAAACTTCACAGTAGCCACATGAAGCTGCTCTGCTGCAGCCATGTAGTCTCTGTGTGAATTTGCAGAAAGGCTCGAGTCAATCTCAGACTGACTTTTCTAGAGAGAGTAAACTGCACTCCATCACTGAAGGATTTTAAAACCAACTTAGAGGCTTGTTTAATGTTGCTTTACCAAAAACCTAGATAAGGATATAATACAACTACGCAAGATAAAATATTCTAAACAAATTTCAGGTCAAACTAAAAGCATTTGAGTGAGAAGGTGTGGCAGCTCATACTTGATCTACTCCAGCACAGAAGTCAGTAAAATTTCCCTCGGGATCAATAAAGTATCTATCTATCTAAACATGTCAGGTTACACAAAAAGCACTTTAGAAATACACTGTATAGTCGGCTGTCCTTACATGATCCACCACATGAAGAGTTTTTGGACTTAATTAAGCTGCAAAGCGGCTGCGCAGACTCCTTTGATGAAGGGCTCTGTGGCTAATTGTCCTGCCACTGATTAATCGCCCTAACTCTGAAATCTGTGTCAGACAGTATAATTGGGGTCTGGCATGGTGCAAAAACTCTCAAGCATTGAGGTAGTTGTATACTGCATAACTGCATCAGATGATCAGCTCTTCATCTGTCTTCCTCACGATGATACACTGTCAAGTAGCTTCATGTTTGATCGTTAAGAGCCTTTATTTTCATATCCACTTGAGGCGATTGTCTGTAGTGTTTACATCCAGCCAGGACAGAAAGGTAATACTTGAATATTTTGACAGTTTAGTGAATGATAAACACATTATTAGGGTTTTTCACACTTGCAGAAAACTCCTGATAAACTCCTGATATTTACCGGAGGAGCTGTATGTGTGAACTCAAACAGCCAGATTTTGGTTGTTGGTGTTGGGATACCGTTAAACTAAACGTAGCATTGATGTAAAGGTAAATACTCTCATTATAGCGTCGTTTAGCGGACTCTGTTGCTTCCTCCGTTACTTCCGCGTCTTTTTTATACTTGACGTCTTACCTCATGAGACCCCCCGCCACCCCCGCCCGTCTGGCAGAGATAGCCTCCTGCTGTGAGGAGCATATTTGAACAGCCAGTCAGAAGGACTTCAGGATGATGTGACAGTATTTTTTAGTGAGAATCATTAGACATGGTATTAGATTCAAAAGTCTCAATATTGAATTCATAAGCACACATGTAATTTCCTAAAATGTTAAGGTACGTTCAGACATCATTATCCATGAAGCTGATGTTAGCGCAGTCTTGTTATACAAAGTAATATTCTCTCTCAGCACATAGTTATAGTGGATACAGCTGTGGGATGCTATGAAAAATGTACTTCAGTTTTTATTATTCAAAAGGACACTTTTGTGAAACTTTTGCTAAGAAGATTTTGTGTGGAAGTTGTGCTTCTTTTAAGTTAAGGGTTTTTAGGATATTTATTTATTTTTAATGTTCAGGGGGTCTTCTTTTTTTCTCAGGTCAAACTTAGAGAGACTGACTGCTGAAAGCAAACAGTGAAAACACTTTAAAGGTCACATATTCTCATCCTTTTTAACAAGTTTCAATAAGTCTCAGCGCTCCACAAAACATGTGTGTGAAGCTTCTTGCTAAAAATCCACTCTGATCCTGTATTTGATCATGTCTATAAACCTATTTCAGCCCTGCTCAGAACAGGCTGTTTCTGTGTCTGTACCTTTAAATGTAAATAAGCTGTGTCTGACCACGCCGCCTCAGAGGATGGACTTTTCTCATCATTGGGGGGTTTGTAGTCAGACTAGAGACACATATTATTGTTCGAGAAAAACATGGTGAATAGTATTTTGCATGAAATGTGACTTTTAAAGAGAGAATACTCAAATATTGGTTTCTGAAATAAAACCAGTAGTTTTTTTAGTGTATGTGCAACTTTAATTTAAAAGGGAGCATGTAATGAGTGCAATGGAAAGACAAATACAAAGACAAGCACGTATAGAAAGCTTTGTTGTTGATAACATTACAGTAGTTCATAATGATGAGTAAAATATGAGTTTCAATGTGCAAAACTTAAATAAAGAAGACGCTATCATCCCAACAACAAAGGTTGAATATCATGCACAGGTTTATTAGATCATCTTCATTTTTAAATTAGGAAGATTTTATTAATGATACTGTACTTGTAGAGTCTAAACAGTCACTGATTTTCAAACAAACAACAGCTGTTATATTATTATAAGTGCAGCAATGAGAAAGAAAAAGCACTTACAAAGACTTTTGTTAGTTTTATAAAATAAGAAAGACTTTTTCTTATTTTTGAATATTACTGTAAATATAGACGACACATTCTATATCCTAATACTAAGGATACTAATTCAAATGACGATTTCTTCAGTACACAAGTTTGCTCACCAGTTTTTTAACCACAAAGTTTGTTACATATTACTTTTGACTCTAAACCTTAGATATTTTAATAGCTTGTATATTCATTTCCAAAGCAAACTAGAGTTCTGAGAAAAAAAGAAAAGGCTCGCAACAACAGGTTGTATTGATCAAGAGAAAAAGTACTGACAGAAATGGACAAATAGTTGCTAAGCTGATTGAGATGGCTTTTTACTGATGAGCACGTTGTTTAGTGTTTGCACTTGCATTCAAAGAACATTTTATGAAAAGGTAACGATGTAGCATGACTCTTGGAATACAATATTTTGCACACTGAAACTCACCATTTAAATAACGATCAGATCTATAAAGAACGACCCATGGGCAACCTGAGAACGTGTTCAGGCTGTGCACGGGGTACCATGTTGGCCCTTTAGCTAACTAAGCTCGTCATTGTGAATCACTGTTGAGTCATTCACTGACATCACACCCACACCACTTCTTTAATTCTCAGGCTGCCTCATGTATGACACATCAAACCTTGAATATCATGATTTATTTATTTTTTCTGATGTCATATATTTTAACGTAAGATGTTCAATAAACCTGAACGTTTCTTTTCATAAACTGTTTTGTGTTGTCACTGATAAAGAGGTTACTATAGAAACACAACATAATACGATTGTTAGTGTATTATATAGGAACACAGTTTATTGGATAATTGGCTTTAATTTGTCTTCCACCATAACTTATGACCACATGATCAGTGGGATACAAAGGTTAAGGAGCCAGACAATTTTAAGGGAAAGAGGTGATATTTGTCACCTATGTTACATTGAACGTTAACACCCTATAAACATCTTCCTGGCATTTCACATTTATCAGCGCCTCCCTGCTGCTCCCCGGAGTTAGTTCAGGTTGAAATCATGTGAGGAAGCAGGAGAGAGAGATTCTGAGGTTAACTGATTCTCACTCTGTAGCATTAGATTAGAAATGAAAGCCGGGCTGCACAGACATGTTTGATGTGAGATTTGGGCAGGTAATACTGATTCTTGTACTCCATTTAAAGTGTTCTGTAATTGATTGAGTCATTACGGGAGAGAGGTCGGACACATCAATATGTGACATGTTGTGTCTGGACATGTCCCAGGCTGATTGTGATGGATGACTGCTGGCAATTAACTGAAGCTTTGATGATTTACTTACAAAGCAGATGGCACCTCAGTGTTAGCCCTGAGTACAGAAATCTGTCCTGCTTTTATTTATTTCTGTCATGTTTATCTTTGCTCTAATCTACCTCTGATGAGTCTTTATACAGTGAATTGATTATCACTAAAGGTTTTCCTTTTCAGAGATGACTATATTCCAATCCAGCTTTATCCAGACAGCACAAGAGCAGCAGTGTTCACCAAAGTGCTTTACAGTCCACATAAGATAGTGGTTGCAAATAAATAACAAATAATAATAATTTTAGAAGAAAAAGTGAAAGAAATAAAAACACAAGTTAAACCGTAAAAAGTGGATTAGTGAGCACAACCCGTGTACAGAGACTGTTGCTGGCCAAGCGGGCAGTCCAGGTTCGAATCTGAACTGTGGCTCCTTTCATGTCTTTCCCCTCCCTCCCTCTCTCTCTCTCGCTCTCTCTCCCTGATTTCTGACTCCATCCCCTGTCCTATGTCCACAATGAAGACACCTAAAGTCTTTAAAACCTGGGGTGTAAAAATGAGTTTTAAGACAAAAACAGGCAGTGTGGGGGGCCAACCTCTCCTCCTCTGGTCCTCAGCCTCTGAGTGGAGTACGGCTGCAGAAGTTCAGAGATGTATTGTGGTGCTGAGCCATATAGCGCATTTAATTTTTAAATTACATCACTTCCACTCTAATGCAAGTGACTTTTTCACTCTTTCATTTCAGTTGTTTTGCTTTCAAGTTCTGAATTAAATGAGGTCTGTTGCTCTCCCTCTTATTTTATAACGTTGCTTTTCCCTACCTGACCTACCTTGTCGATGTGACTGTTCAAATTATCTGATAAACCAGCACTCACTAAAACTTTGGTTGCAGACTTGAAAACATTGCAGCAGACTGCTAAATGACATGCTTCAACGACACAGTATTTTGTGTCACACTTTGTGGATCTGTTGAAAGACCACGTTTAGTTTATTCATGATGAATCAGTTCCTACACTTTTTTGTCTTAAACTTGTTTTATGATCTGAGTATTTTTGTGCACTGCATCAGGTTTTCTCACCTGAAGGACAAGGACACACTTTGTTATGTTTTCTGGCACATTCTTCCATCAAAGGCTCTGTGACACTTTATTCACCACATGGAGCATGAAAATAAGTTAAATCAACCACAGAGTGAAACAAAGTTTGCCTGTCTTGGTGCACAGGTATTGATTTTTTTGATGGCTTCAATCAAACCAGGAAGACACAGATGAGAGATTAATATCTTACTAAATGTCTAATATAACAACCAATGGGAAAGGATACTTATTATTTAATAAGTTAGTTCAACTTGTTTTTTTTCATTCATTTCTTTCATATTCTCCTTTATAGCTCTTTTCTGAAATCATGCGTTAAATTGTCTTTTTTCCTCACAGCATGTTTGATGCTTTAATACAAAATACCTGAATAAAGTACAACTCTGACTGCGATTTGTATTTTTATTTTTTAGTTAGTATCATGACCTCCCTCGGTCCACATGGGGGCAGCAGTGCAGCTCTTGCAGACTCGTGACGTTTGAAGGCGGAATCCTTCCTCTCAGGTGAGTCTGGAGTTACCTGGTGCTGCTGGTGATCGGTGCATCCCTGACACCATCAGCTTTATTCTTTGCCTCTGAAGACCACAAAAAGGCACTGGGGTGCGCTTGAAATATTGGAGTTAAAGGGTGGATCACTCGAGTGTTGTCACTTACTGTTGGGGGAGTAACAGCTGGCATTGGGAACGCACGAGTATGCGGTGTGTCGGGATTGCGTAAATGCGCACTGGTGAGTGAGGGGAGGAGAGGATGCAGGGTGGAGGGAAAGACCAGTCAGTGGAAAGAAGGGCGAAAGTGACTGTTGTTTCCGCTGGATTCTCACACTGAACAGGTTCACAACAAACAGGAGCGGAAATTCCACGGCTGCTAACGTGACGTGTGCCGACATTTACGCGGAGCTTCTCCAAGCGCCTACAGCAATGCCTGCAGCCCATCCACCGGACAAAAAGGTAAGGACTGCTGTCTCTAAACTTTCCACCTTGTTGCCTTTATTATCGAGTAGCCTACAAGACGAGCATGCGGACTTTTGAAAACCTGGCTTTATGCCCTGGTACCCTGCTCAGGTTGGTGCAGTATCGCGCTTCACCTCTGCGCACATGTGTTGCTGTGTTGGTCGTGAGGCATAGTTGTTTACAGTGCGCTGCAATGGGGATCATATCGTTGTCAGACATGTGAGGATACTTAATAAACCGGAGTTTATTCGTGCAGTTTGAGTGATAACATTGTGAATAAGGATCAGGAAAACACTTCGGACGCGATATGTAAAAGAATCCCATCGCAGGTCAGTATTACAGGACTGTTAATCCCGGGGGGGGGGGTTTGATTTGTTGTCAGTCATCAGATGTTATGTAATGGACATGTAAAGAATGGCAGATAATATCAGCTGCAGGGATTTTACCACTAAAGAGTAAAGTGATGTGTGTGTTTTTGTGTGTGTGTGTGTGTGTGTGTTGCGTGATTTTTGCTGCAGATCCGGGGATGTAGGGGAGAGAGGTTGTTGGGAAAATTCTATCCTGCTGTTTGGTGACATGCGTCCTCTCTCTGTAAGCCGGTGCCAGCTGTTGTACTGCCAAACATCTGGTTGCAGCTGTCAGTCACTGGCACATAAAGAGTCCGTCTTGATTGTCTTGCAGCCTCAACTTTCTGCTCTCTTTTTACTCAGTTGAGTGTGTTTCTGTAGAGCCCTCCACCTGGGCATGGTGGCATTGCTGCTTTAACACCCTACTTTCTCTCTCTCTAAAAAAAACCCCCTACTCTCTCTCTCCATGACTTCCCTCACATGGAGGCCTCCTACAAATAAAATAACTTAAAAAATCTGCTCTTTACTCTTTCTTCTGTCCGGTCTGCTTGAGGGAATGTTCATCCGGCTGTGGCCCAGTGTGTCTCTCACCCGGAAAGTCGAGGGTTCGATCCCCAGCTCCTTCAGCTACATGTCTGTTGTGTCTTTGGTCAAGACACTTAACCCCAAATTGCT